GCGCGCGGTGGGCGGTGATGGTGCGGAGGGGCGCCCGGAACGCGGGCTGCGCCCACCCGGCCTGGGAGCTGGGTGCGCTCAGTGTCTGTGCCCGGGGCTCCCTCGTTTCCTGAGGACCTTCTAGATCTAAGACACCCACAGTCCTAAAAGAAGCCTCTTTTTCTGGAGGTGAGGCAGAGTGAGCCTCAGGTTTCCTCTCACACCAAGCGCTCTCTGGAGTCCAGGAGATGATGGACTGTCACCCCGCCTGGCACTGTGAGACCTGCAGCCCAGGCTGGGACTTGGTTTCCCCAGACCGAGGCGTGACTTGTGAAGCCAAGCAGAAGGCTTTAGGTACATGTGCCCGGCTTCCCTTGGGAACGTGTTCGGAATGGTTTTCCCTTAACAAGCTTTCAACTTCTGTTCGTATCAGGGCTGCAGGGTCTGAGGATCTGCGGAGCAGAGCTGCAGCCACCAGGTGCTCTTTCTGGTTACATACTCGAAGGGGCACCTCACATTTCTGCCCAGAGTCCTCCGCTGCCCCATCTCCTCCACCATCCTTTAGTTTGGTTAAAGGCGTTCATATTCTCATGAAAATGTGGCTTAGTGGGCGTGGAATAAAAGCAGATCCCAGGGTAGTAAATGAGACAGTGCAGCCCTGGTGGGGCTCCCCGCCGAGCTTCTTAGGTTGCAGGGCTCTGGTGATGCAGCAGACAGGACAGGGGCCAGGGTGGGGATCACGAGTCCGGAGCACTGCACCTGCTCCCCACTTCACCTGCGTGTATGTGCTGGGGAACTCGGGGGCTTACGTCCAAGACCGAGAGCTGGCACCCATCACCCTCCCCTGACCTGCAAGTCTGTCCAGGCTAGGACTCCGAATGCTCTGAAATGATTGGGATTTCCCTCTGTTTTGAGTTTCTCAGTTGTTGCCAAAATAGCATGTCAGCTCTGGGATACAGAGGAGACCAGTGGTCGTGGAAACGAGGCACATGAGGATGTGCCCCCTGTGGGGCACAGGAGGCTGTGTTAGGATGCCAGGAGAAAACGTGATTTTTTTCTTCTTCTTTTTTTTAAGATTAAGAAAAACTGCTGCGACTCCAGCTTTATTGATGACAGTGTATGGACTGGCACTGGCTCACTCAGTCCTATTTCTGGCGTGCTAACCAAGGATGGGAGGAGGGTGGGGGGGGAGGGAGGCATGGACCCTCACAAGTGAGAAGGGGGCTCACGGGGGGGCTCACTCGTTTTGCTTTTAGCTCATTGTGAAACTTTGGAATCCTTGGAGGGGAGGGTAGAGCTCAGTGGTAGAGCGTGTGCTTAGCATGCATGAGGCCCTGGGTTCAATCCCCAGCACCTCCATTAAAGTAAGTAAATAAATAAAACTATTTGCCACCATCCCTCTCCGTAAAAAAAAAAAAATGTTGCCATCTGGATTACTGGCTAAATGGATTTATGGACTATATTTAGCTTTGGTTAAACTGACTCTCATAGGATGCCGGCTTAAAAGGATTTCTGTTAAAAAAAAAAAGGACTTGCGATAACAGTAGTAAACAGAAGCTCCAACAGGACAGCACTGATGGACGCACACGCTGGTTCAGGTTCCCTTTGGCTGCTTGATGTATTAAAACAACGATCAGATCCGACAGGTTAAACAAATTTCGGCATTAGCCCCCAGGCTGCTGTCATTAATCATGCATCTTGCCCTGTGTGCATCGTCATGCTATCTGGAAACATTAGCCATGGTAAAATGGAACGGTTGGAGTTAGTGAGATTTTAAAAACTCAGAATACTGAATATGAGAAAAAAATCTGCAGTGTTATCAGCGATACTTTGAAGAGGTGTGTTTAGAAATGCTCATATGGCTGTGTGACTTATTGCATCAAATGTGGGTCGTTTGTCTCAAGCGGTGGTCGGAGCCACCCCACCAGTGACAAAAGCTCGTGTCCGGGAGCGCTGGGCATTCTGTGTGACTCAGTGCTTTCAGTCCTCCCAGCAACTTTTTTTTTTTACATTTATTTATTGAGTAATAGTCATTTTACAATGTCGTGTCAAATTCCAGTGTAGAGCACAATTTTTCAGTTATATGTGAACACATGTGTATTCATTGTCACATTTTTTTTCACTGTGAGCTACCACAAGGTCCTGTATATATTTCCCCCCAGCAACTCTTAAAGGTAATGAAATTTTCCTTTTTCAAGGCTGGTGCTAAAATATGTGAAAATTTCTCTTATTTTTTCTAGCTGCCTGATAATAAATTCCTGATAAGATTTACCTACTTGGTAGGATCGCCTAATGGTTGTATTTGTTCTTCAGCATCTTAAATTCAAATTATAAACCTTCTGGAAGGTGTTCTAGTCCAACTGAGCTATTCATTTGACCTTAACATTATTTCATTTAGATGCCTGCCTCCCTTTACTACCCAGAACTTAAATTTTAAAACAGTGTAAAATAAAATGATCTTTATATTTTAAAAAACCCCACATTTTCTGTCAGGCATTGGTGAGAAGTGAAATGTTCTTCTGTGCTCTCCATTGCGATAGTCGCTCGCCCCAAGTGGGCATTCATCACTTGAAACATAACTAGTTTGACTGAGGAACCATCGATTTTAAGTAATTTAAGCAGCCACACGTGGCTAGTGGTGACTGTCCTGGACCGCACAGCGCAGGTTGTTTCTAGGACCTTCCAGCACACGTCAGCAAACTATGGTCATTGGGCCAAATCTAGCTCACCACTGTTTGTTTTTTTCTTTTTGTCTCAGTTTTATTGGGATATAATTGACATTCAGCACTGTGTACATTTGGGGTGTGCAGCATAGTGAATTGACTTACATACGTCATGAAATGATCACCACAATAAGTTTAGTGAACATTATCTTGTATAGATACAAAATTAAATAGAAAAGCAACGTTTTCTTGTGATGAGAACTCTTAGGACTCACTCTGTCAACTTTCACAGATGACACTCAGCAGCGATCATCATATGGGTCACGTTGCACATGACATCCTCAGGACTTACTTACCTGATGCTTGGA